GTGGTCTTTTTTCATATGAGAAACAGTTATCTTATCTTACTTTCAGTTTGCAATCTAGAAAACTGATCTAAACTCAAATTTCGGAAAAAGATTTTGCACCGGATTTGGTCTTAATGTTGGTTTCTTTTGTTCTTTAACATCTTAATTTCAACTGCATTGCTTACCATGAAAAAATAATCCATATCTCTAAAAAATAGCCTTGTAATATCCAATTCTTGTTCTGTTTTTCCTTTTCCTTTTATTTCTATTTTGGTTGTTGCTGTTGTCGAGAGTCTTAATTGGCACAGGCAAGAGCTTGTGAGCAGATTTGGGGCTGGAGAAGAAACTGTCTAAACCAGAGGTAGAAGAAGAACGGTGGAGAATGAAGTTTTGTTTCTCCCCTCTTGAATTGGTCGTTGACAGAGAAGAGCCTCAAAGAATCTTAAGGTGATATGAATATTTAGTCTTTTTTTCCGAAAATAGCTTTTGTCTTGTATGTGTCTCCGTACAAGTACTATATATATCTCTTTCTTGTCTTCTCCTACATTTGCTCAGCCTCTAATAAAGAGAAACAGTTTTGGCTTTGTTGAAAAAGGGATCAACAAAGGGAGTTTCATTTTTCTTGTTGGCTCCACAGTTCTTCCCATTGTAATTTGTTTTCTTCGTTTCATACCGATTCTTTTCATTTAAACACCATGGGAGCCTGTGCGAGCAAACCTAAGGAGTCTGATATCCCTGAAAACTCTGTGACTGAAAAAACTGTCGTCGAGTCCAAGAACGTTGAGGCCGAGGCTGTATCTCAGGTTTTGTGGATCCTTTTCATTTGGTTTTCATCATTAGTGACAATCACTTGTATCCTTTTTTCCATGTGTTTGGGTGAAAAATGCGCGATTCTTTTTGTTTATTCTTCTTTCCGGTTGATTTTACAGGAGAAGGCAGATGAAGTTGTTGCAGAGAAGAAGGAAGAGTCTGCAGAGACACAGAAAGATGCTGAGGTAGCCAAGCCTGCTGAGGCTGAGACTGCCAAGCCTGCCGAGGCTGAGACAGCAAAGCCTGTCGAGGCTGAGACAGTCAAGGCTGCCGAGGCTGAGAAAGCTCCAGAGGCGGTGAAGACCGGAGAAGCTGTGGTCGAAACTGTTGTTGTTGAGAAAGCATCTGGTGAGACTGAGCCACCAAAACAAGAGGAGGCTGTGGTTGCCAATGACACCAAAACCAAGGAAGAGCCTCTTGTAACCCTTTGATTTCGCAATTTCATTCTCTCATTCTCAATTTGTTCTACTCCCAACTCTGTAACAATCTTGTATGTTTCTCATCACTTTTGTATATTGATATTGTTGTAATTATTGTGACCAACTCAAAACATCTATCGCATTGTGATTCTTCTTCATTCATACTTACATTAGCTTATGGTTCTCTCTTTCTCAACTCCAAACTTAGTAAAGTCAGCTTTTTTTGCTCGATTTTATAAACCATTTATTAACTAAAAACTTTTGCAAAACATTTCAAAAATCTTCTTTGTCAAGATAAGGTTCCAAAATATGATGACAGTGCGAATTTTGGTTTATTGAAATTGGTTTTTGTTACAATTCTGAAGCCACAAGGGGGAGGAAAAAATGCAGACTTTATCGATAGCATTTTGCAACTGTGCCCTAGTGGTTGGAAGAATCTCTATCGGAAACAGAAACCGTGTTCTTAATTTGAGCTTAATC